CTGAGATTCCATCATAAATGGAAGTAATTGTCTCTCATTTGTCCAACAATAGAATTTGGTTTGTGATGTGAACTGAAATACAATGATTTAAAAAAAAAAAAAAAAAAAAAAAAAAAAGAAACGTAGTGCTGACTTAAAGCCATTTGTTCCCTGAACGAAAAAGCGTGCATGTTAACACAAACAAGAAATCCGCGAGGCTGCTTTACAGGTTTGTCATGTCCGGTATAGATGGTGCAGGCATGTTACCATGTGAACAGATGTATTCTTCAGACAGTTGTGATCTCTGCGTTCATTGAAACTCGATAATGCAAGTAGGTGGTGTTCGGTGAGTAAGTCAGCATGGGCTACTTTGCTCAGCTATATCTAATTTTCCCCTTCGCTATGTTTCTCATGCTATGAATACTTTTGTGTGGGAATTCTCCAAGACTAATGTTTTCACCTGATTTTCTAATAAAATAGCCAGGTCTTATATGCAAATTAAATCTATGGATGTTGTTCTATTTTGGTACATGTTCATCAGTTCAACAGTACGGAGAGTCTGTCAAGTGAAAAAAAGGTTTCTTGTTTCTATACTCTGTATTTAGAACTTTTTGTGAATTCCATATATGCATTTCTCAGAATAAGTATGTTTCTGTTCTTTCTTGTCGACCTGAAGATATGTACTGTTCTCAGATCTTATATTCATGTATCCATTCTAAAAGTAACCAAATTATTCACCACTAGTAGATCAGGATGCATTTCATGCTTAAATACATGACTGTTTTTTTTTTCACTTTGACTTTTAAATCCTGGTAAGTTGTAAGAAAATATAAATACACCTGAGGCAGATCAGTACCTGGCAAGAAACTTTTCTTAAATGGAGAAAATAGAAAGATAAGAGATTGCTCATTAGGGAAATACTTGGTGCTTTCTAGAAAAATGCAGGAAAAGCTTCATCTGCTTTCTCTCATCTCACGTAAAAATGAGATAGATGGAATTTCCATTCAGAAACTTTGTTTTTGTGGTATGTATCTAGAAGTAAGCTTAACCAAGGATGATGATGTGGCTGTAGGAGAGTCTGTGCTGCTGGAAATAGATATGTCAAGTGTGGCAGACACTTGTGTGGGATATGCCTGTGGCAGTTCCAAAGGGGTTCACTCTTGGATTAGCTGGTTACTTCTTTTCAGTACCTTGAAAGAAGCTAAGGTCTTCATGTACATAAGAAGTTTCTGTGTGCATATAACCTAAGTTTTTGATTGAAATGATTCTTTTAACAGTAAAAGTCACTTTATGGACTCTTAAAGTATTCTTTGTTCTCACTGAATTTCCTTTGTAAACAGAAAAAAAGTAACTTTTAAAAAAGAAAAAAATAGGAAAATGCTTAAATTAATACAAGGAAAGATGCCATAATACTGAAATCAGATAATTCACAGTAGATCATACAGATATAACTGTTGAGACATTATAAATGCGCCAAGTCCAAGTAAACTGCGTACTTAAGCTGCACTGAAAAATATTCTTATTTGAGTGGCTCTTGACTCAGGTATACCTGACAGGAGATCTTGAAAACATTGGATTTACAATCTTGCATTGTAGATGGAAAACTAGACATTTCGTTCATTTTTAGCCACCAATTTAGTGGGCAATGCATTGCTTTTGTATTACTGGTGTTTCTTTAACATCTATTAACTGCCTGGATTCTTGTACCAGGCTATTATTACTTGTGATAGGATTTTTTTCATTATTTTTATTTTCCAGCAGAAGTTGGTTTTTACTTGCACATAACTTCACTAAAATGGAAAATTTCATTCCAAGTTATGCATTAGCCACCTTCAGCCTCTATATGGAAAATTGTAGAAAATATATTCATTTTTTTGTAAGAAGCGAAACTTGATGGTATGTTTCCACTCTGCCAGAGGAAAAACTCTAGCTGTTTTCTCTTAGAAAAATTCTCGGGGTCTGGGACAGATGGTCTTCATTCAGTATGTCTTCTGTTATTCATGTGTTAATTTATTTTAATTCACCAAAGTTATTAGCCTTTGAATTAGGTTTAAACGTCCATATTGAGAATGGATAGACTTCTGCAGTTAAAAGTCACAAAGATGCTGTATTGAGTGTGTTTTACCACAAGCTGGAATAAGCAGAACTTTATTTCCAGTTTCAGTAAGCAGATGTTTCAGAGTAGGACTAGGATCAAGAGCTTGGGCACAAGAAAGTGTTTTCAGTCCCACTCTGATTTTTATAATCTCTATAGGAGAATTGGTAACACCTCCACTTTGTTTGCACCTGACAGACAAAGTGTTAAGTCCATGAAAATTAAGTGTGGTGGAATTCAGGAATTGGAGTTGAGGCTTGGGGAGAAAGGGCCTTTTCCAATGTGAGGATGGGGTTTGAGACTGAGAACTGTGGTGCTTAGGTCTTAATAAAATGGTTTGGGGCGGGATGGAGTGAAGGAGACATATGGGACATGAATAAAGGTTGTTCCATAGTTGCCATATGTATTAGGATATGTCAGTTAGAGAAAGATTGGTCTCATTCATTTGGTTCAGCAAATTTATCCTGATTTCTGAATTAATTGTGACTGTGTACTGATAGAAGCTCATGTCTATAGGATTTCTGCTTGCTTCCTTCCATCCAGAACTTAGAATGGCATGTACTGATGAAAACTGGGGAAAAGTCCTGTAACTGTGTTCTGGCCACGCTTGTTCTACAGTTCATATACAGTACAATCAAATAAATTAAATGTCATTTTCACAGGCAATCAGACTTTTTTTTTATCATGACCATCTGGGATATGTAAATCTGATTAGTAGCTACAAATGTACCAATGGAAGTGATGTTTTGAATATGCAAAGAGGTAAAAAATGGAGGGGAAACTCTGCAAAGTCAAGTTTTGACTGTGTTAAAATACCCTGTATTATTAATTACTAATCTCCTGGCCTGAGTTTTCCATTGCATAGGTGAAAAAAATAGTACTGTGTCTCTGGCATGCTGTAAAACTAAATGCAAGCAATCAAATTTATTATGAAGGTTATTATAGAAAAGTACCATTCAAAAGTGGAATCAGACTTCCCATCAGGGATTCTGACTAATGAGCAATGGAGTAAGATGTGTAGACCCAAAGAGAACAGAGGAAAAAAAAAAGAATATAAGCGGATGACTGATCTTTGTCAGCAGCATTAACTTGCATGAGGCTAGTGAAGAAACTCTTATGTGCATTCTGAGGCTAAACCACAGTACAGTCTACTCACACCAAAGAGCTGTATTAGGATTGCATTGGAAACATTGCTTCCAGTACTTCCAAATTGGAGATTTTTTAAAACTGAAGCTAATTTTCCTGTGTAAATTGTAAGTAAATAACATTGTACTTAAACTTACTCAGAGGGAATTGCATTTTATTTACTTTATTAATATTGAGGAATAACAGACAAGGAGGCTTACTAAGTGTGCAAAGCTTACTACCTGTCTAAATCTTACCTTACTGCCTGTGCAGTCACTGCAATTTTATCTGTATTCTAGAAAGGCTGTCTTCTAAAAAATACTTTCAGAAGCTTTGAAGAAAATAATGTCAATCTGAAATACTGAACAATACTAAAATAGAATAAATATAACAGAAAATTGTACACAAAAAAATAACATAAAACTAAGTCAAAAGTATTTGAAAAGAAGCACTGTCTTACAAAGCAGACTTCCTTTCTGCTCATAACTGAGTGGGTTTTACCATATTTTAATAGAACTCATGATAAAAGAATGAGGAACAAGCCAGAAGAAAATTGAGTGTGTCTAGTAATTATCAATATCCTATGAAAACACTTGTCATGTCATGTCTGCTAACACAACCAGTAGTTTCTCCTGTTGAGAGCCATATTAAATACAAACTTGGTGTATAGGAAAGTGCTCAGAGATGGTAGCAGCTTATTGCAACTCTGCTGCAGATTTAGCAATCCCAACACTCAATTTAGGAGTTTGTCATCAAGACTGTGTTTTAGTTTTGGACTTTAGTGTGGTTCATTAATTATTCTGGAAACCTACAAGCCATTTGGCTGCATCCAATAATGTGATTCATTGTTGTTGCATCAGAGCCTAATGCATATGTTTACAAAATTTAGAGGATAGAGTGAAGATGGTAGTAAAATCCTAGATTATTTTTTAGCTTTGTAATTCAAGAAGTAGTCCTCAATCTGCTGTAGGAGACACAAAGTAACAATGTGGGGATGGAGGGAGATGCATGGGTTTAAGGTAATGAGAATGTGTCTGTGTTCAGGGAATATTAAAGGTCCTCAAGAGAACATCTCTCCCATTCAGGGACAGAATTGTTCTCTCCTACTGCTAAACCTCCTCAGTTATTTCACCTAGCCATGATACTATTTACCAAAGTAATGACATTTCAAAATTCCTCAGATCAGAAATTAATTCTTATTCTCTGTCATGCAGCTAGGTATACAATATCCTTGTATGGATTGTTCACACCCCCAAATTATACTGCTTTAAAATTCAGTTTAAAGAAAGTAGGAAAATTTCCACAGGAAAAACTGTGGGTTTTTTGGTGTGCATTGTTTTTGTATAATTTAGTATAAACTTGACACCAGGTCAACTGTCTCTTTACTATTATAATGCAATTTCAAAAAGAGAGGAGAACAGCCCACGAATTCCAGACGTTCTTGAATCCTGCGTGCAGCTGGCTGAGCTAGGACTTTGAATGCTGCTACAGGTGACAGAGTTGCAACAGTGGGCAAAAATTCTCCAAGTGAGCCAATGTAGACTTTGCTTAAGAATCATTAACTAAATCCCCGTTTCTTTCTGTGGCAGCTTCAGCTGAAGTCACGTGAGCCGACGTGACGCGAGATCATTACCTATCAGTGCAAACACATGGCAAAGTCTGCCCGTGTTATTGCTGATCTCAAGGAGCGCAAGGGGCTGTGACATTTCAAGCAAAGCCTGTTGCTGAGGGAGTTTCTATGTGAGCTTTTTTAAAGAAGCGTTTCCTTTTTAATCATAATACTGTGTGGGAAAGTATACCAAACATTTTTCTGTTAGAGACCAGAAGATTTACGTAATTCTTCTGCTTCCATGCAAAGAGAAGAAATGATAATTCAACATTCTGTTATGGCTGTAAGCTCTGCATTTATCTGTGCTATGGAAATTTAGTTTCCTGTTTTCTGAGATGCATTTCTCAGAAGAGGATGGTTTTGAAGGTGACTTCAATAGAAGTGCTGTTGCTGCCCATGAAAGGGTTCCTTCTGGAATCTTGGTGAGTTTGACAGATTTATTGCTAAGTACGGGTATATAATTTCCTATAGCATAGTTAAAATACATAAAACTTGATTGCCTCTATTTAATATTAATTAGGCATTCAACAGACTTACTTTGTTTCCCATTTTTGTTCCATAAGTGCTCTGGGCAGTACTAGAAACACCACTGAAAATCTTTACTTAGGAACAAACATGTTTTTGTTTACTTGTTTCTGTGGAGTAGACCTAATGCTACAGTGATCTTGTTTTATATGGTCATTTTTTTCCCCTCCAGCCTTTTCAGGGTGCGAACTAGAAATTAGTAAAACACTTTCTAAAGATTTTTTCTGGTTAAGCAAATCTCCTGCCTCATAAATATATATACATGCAAATACAGGCAAGCAGAGATAAATTGAGGGAAACCATTGCTATACAGGTTTTTATTTTGATTTTCTACCTAATCTCTTGAAACAAATGCAACTTCTTTACTGTTTACATCATGTGGCATTAGACTGTCTTTTAATCCTCTAGATGTTTCTCAAAATATATGGGATGTATAAATATCTGTTCGCTTGTAAGCTAACATCTACATTTAAGTAACTTTTTTTTTTTGCAGTTGTAGTTAAAATTCGTGCCCTCTAAAGCTGTATCTCCCTAGAGCAATGTGATAGCTTGCCTTTGAGTAACTTGCACTCTTCTTTTTATGTTGTTGAACTGGGCATTTGTAGTGGGTCACGTTCATATGGATGCACCTGCATAAGAAGTATTGGGTTTAAGAACGCAGAAAACGTGGCTTACCTTTACTAAAGCAGTACTCCAAATGCACAGAAGACACAAGTTTGTGGACAGCCTTTTGATTGTATCTTGCACTTGCATATGGATATTAGTGAATAACATTAAAAAATTTGTTCAAGAAAACATTTTGGTTATGTAGCAGCCAAACTAACATCTTTGTTAATGATGCATAGATATAATTCCTATCCTCAAAACCTCCCACTCAGGTTATGCTAACATAAGCATTTCCTGTTGATGAGTTTTGAAAATTTGGTTATCTGTCATGTAGAGCATTTAGATACTTAATCTGAGCTGTAGTACTGTTTGAACATTATTTCTGAGAGCCATTCTATTCCTCATTGCTGTAACATGAGGAAGTCAACCAACATATGCAGGGTTAATTTTAGTTTAACCGATGTGAGCATTTTATAGATGGAGGTACAGAATTTTATTTTTAGTTCTTGAACTTCCAAACTAGATATTTTCTTATTTTGTGCTTACTTTTGTGCTCACTCTCTCTCTAGTTTCAGTTTCTGCCTTTTGCCTTTTAATGGCTTCTTGCCAGAAAAAAAATCTTTTTATGATATGGAACAGAGAGATCTTTTCCCCCATTCCAATTACAATTGCACTTAGCTTAGTAATATTAATGTGTTCAACTATAGGAATTTCTGCAAACTAGGTAGTATTGCATAAACATTCAAAAATCAATCTCTCTGGAGCCTTCAAAGTCACAAAAAGTGTTTTTTCTGCTGTGAGACCTTAGGTACTTGTTAGCCTTTTAATTTGCTATCCTAGAAGAGTAAGTAGTAGTGAGCTACATTAACTTTAGCTTTTATGCAGAGTTCTGGAATTTGACTGCATCAAGTAATGTGTATACTCTGGATATCAAAATAAATAAAACTTAAAATGCTAAACAGTATTGTGAAATATTGCTGCATTGGCCTTTCTTAGCTTGTCTTGTCCATCAGACTTCTGTCTTGAATTGCAGAACGGGAAATTGGCGTGCTTTTTATGTTCTTATACCAGGTTACGAAGGTATACTGCTCTCGCTTTTCTCTGTCTTCTGGACAATGACATTTAACAAGTGTTAACTAACCATAAGAGTGTTATCGAGGAAATACTTAGTCTTACTGGTTTTTCTGTGATCATCACAAGTTTTCCAACAATATACAATAAAACTTAAACAAACAATAAAAGCCACTAAAATTTTAACATCTCCTAGCTGGGGTTCTATTGTCATTTGAGATAAATTAAACATCTCGTGTTTCTCACACTTTATTTCTATTTAATCATTTGCTTACCACAGTTTGGACCTTTTTAAATAACATGTTTATCTCGCAAAGTGAGCTATTATGTTAAAAGCTGAACTACAACCTGATAAGCGATAATATAGTTTTTGTTTTACAATTTGTTTACTTACAATGTACAAAACAATGTTTATGTTAAGACTTGGATCATAAAAGGCTTCTTTCCTTATAAACATCATTCGTAAGAGGTTCAAAAGTTCATAACTTTTTCAGTGTAAGAGGTTATTCTGTTTATGTATGATCATCATATGGCTGTGCTGTGAGCTACAGAAATACAACTGAGATCTATGAAAGAGAACTTTCGCTACAGGAAGGCAAGAATATGTGTAAAATAGGTGAATGCTTTAGTCTTGTGGGTTGTTTTTTGTGATTTTTTTTCTGTGGTTAGACAAGGTCAGTTATGTATGTATGTGAGGAAAACTAGATTATTAATCAGCTGAACTCCGTTCTTAGCAGTTGGTGTGAAATTCTGATCTTGTAAACAGTCGCTCCCTAAATGATAGAGAATTCCTTACTAATATCCACTTCTGAAGTCCTATTCACTGAAATGAAACATATGGAATGGAGACTCTATTAAGGTCTTCTATTCCTGATTGTGCCAAACATTTCTTTTAACAAATTCAGTCTCCTTGGTGACATGAAATCAACTTTTCTTTGTAAGCCAGTACCATAGACTGCTCTTGGAAGTCGCCAAGGTATAGCCATGAATGATAATGACTGTTAGATAATTTTTCCTAAGATTGAGAATAAAGATTGACTGTCATTGTAGGGGAGGACTAATTGCTTAAACAGTAAAGCAGAGATACTGCTACCTTGCTGTCTTGGGTTACACTTCCAGGGAATGCAGTAAATGTGTCACTTGTCAAAAGGAAGATGTTCAGTTCCCCGCCCTAGCCTTTTTTTTTCCTAGTTCTGTGGTGCTGCTGTGTGCCTTGTGTCTCTGATGTTTGTCATGTTGTTCTTCGTCAGCTAATCTAATTTACTAACCCTCTGAAACAAACAATAACAAAATGGGTGGACTTCTGCCAGTTGTGTCAGTGAGCTAAAGTCAGCTCATTATGACGGTCAGGTGAGGAAGGGTTGAAGTGATACCTCCCTTTTTAGCAAGAGTGAGCTATTTCATTAGCAAGCAGTCAATTTTATTGTTGTACATGGAACTACTTAGAGATGAAACTGAATTTTATTAATCACTGGTGTTGATAAGGAGTCAATTCTGATAATCTCATTAGTCGCTCAATGGCAGTCTGTTCTTTTTGTCTTCATCGACCATGTTGTACAAAAGCTATGGGAGAAAATACTCTAGCACGTTACCTAGTATAGTAATTCTGTGGATAATTTCTAAACATTTTAACATCTGGATTGGAAAACCCCCATCTTCCTTTCTATATCTTGTGGAGAGGAAGGAACGTTTTTTCAAAATCTGAATATGATTAGGTAATGTATGTTAGGCTAGAGAAACCCGAGATGTAGAAAAAAATACTTCCATAGCTGCTCTAAGTTTCTGAAAGTAGTTTTAGATTTCCTGCATGTTTAAAATTATATTGGTACTGTCAGATGCTAGAAATGTAGCTTCCTTTTGAATGAGTGAAATATACCCTGTATTACTGTAAGGAAGACTTTGAAGGCTCAGAACAGAAGTAACTTACTACCTAAATAATGAAAGCGGGAAGAATAACTCTTGTAGTGCAATATGGTTTTGTTTAGAGGCATGAAGAAAAATCCTAAACCTTGTTCAGAGGCTAATAAAGATAGATTAGCAGATAGACAAAGAAATTCACTGTAGACCTTTTGTTTGTAGAAATATTATCCTGAAATAGAATTTTTATGGTTTAAGCCCTGTTATATGTTCAATGTTGTGTGCTTTGCTTGTTTGCAGTGACTCTTTCTTCTCCCAAATAATATGCTGAAGTTCAGAGGCATGCAATTGCTTGGATATATTTGAAACAAGCTTGTAGCAGTCTTTTTGGTGGGAGATGGCAGAATGAGGAAGGGTTGCACTTAAGTTTCTGTTAGAACACCTTCAAAGTTTTTCCTACTCTTCCCATTAAAGCTCAAATGTTCTGAGAAATATTTGGACTTCGTTTCTGATTGGCAGTCATAGCTCACATTGTATTCTTAGTCAGGAAGACTTGTAGACATTAAAAACTCATTCATTTAATTAAGTATTTTTAGTGGATTAGACAGAATGATAAGTGATGCTCTTCGTTCTTTGTTTATCTTGTTTGACTATAGCATAATCTTCCTATTGTATGCATCTTCCTTTCCTTGTATTGTGTCTTGAATGCCCCACTCTCATCTAGTAAAGTTCCTTCAACAAGACTGTGTATTGTTCTTTTCCGATTTTCTGGTGTCAGGAGTATGAACAACCACAAAAACTGTACAAGATTTGCTTCCTCTTGGCAGAAACTTTGTGAAACCTGTGGAAAGTAGGTAGCGGGAAGGTAACTCTTTACACTTAAAATAATATATTGGATGAGTATGTAAACTTGGTTAAGACTTGCTTTTTACATATGCAAATGTAGTATTTGGAATTTAGTGGTTATTCTTTAGGTTTAATTTCTGTGGAAATAATGGTTGTTAACTGGTAAGTCATCTGCTTCTTGTGGACAAGAAGCGTTCAGGACAAGGTCCTGTTGCTAAGTTCACTATGTTTTCATAAAGCAAACTTCATTTCAGCAGCTGTTTTAAATATAGATACTTATGATGTTCATTAAGCTGTTTAGAGAAGTATCCATTTTAGCTATAGGTGTTACTTATTGTAATTTAATGTAATCAAAAGTTAATGGGAGAGTCTCAGTAAGTTGAGTACGTGGCATCACTTACCACAGGTGGAAGTCGTCTCCTCAGTTTTAACTTCTGAAGGTCTATGGCAGTGCTTTCAAAGAAAGGTTTTTACAAGCTTATTTTTATGTTGAAAGAGGTTCTAGTATTTGTTTCATGGCAAATAAATTCACTGGTGTTGTGCTTTCCTTACATAGTATGAAAACTGGATTTCTTCTGTTTGTTTTCCCCATACTCATTGTCAAACTGCTCTGTCTCCCATTAGATCTTTTAATAATTTCTTGAAGGTGACTCAGCCATTTTTAAAAGATAGAGCTGTAAAGGAAGAGTTACATATATTACACTCTACATAACTTTTCCTGGCTTTTAACATTTTTTTTTTGCACTTTTATGTGAAGTTATCTCTATTTTCAATAGAGGATCAGTTGTGTTAAATAAGCAGTCTTCAGAGAATGAGTTTTTCTTTTTAGCTTATCTGAGTAATCACTTGAATCTAGGCTTTGAGGTTTAAGACTGACATGCTTCAAAATTTACTTAATATTTTAATAATCATAGATTTAAGTTAATAAACTATTAAGAATACTTTTTATAACTCTGCAGACTTAGCAAGAGAAGAACTGGCTCAAAATCCTGTTGACTCTTGAATGCATTTGTGTAAAACTTGTTACAATAATGGTGTAATTGATAAATGACATTGCACATCTATTTAGGTGTTTTTAAAAAATTGATTTAAAAAAACTTTTTACACTTTTAAATTTAATTACTTTTTTTTTTCTTCCTCTCTCTTAGTCTCAGACTATGAACTACGTAGGACAACTTGCAGGACAAGTCCTGGTTACTGTGAAGGAGCTGTACAAAGGCATTAATCAGGCTACCCTTTCAGGGTGCATTGATGTCATTGTGGTCCGGCAACAGGATGGTACATACCAGTGTTCCCCTTTTCATGTCCGATTTGGGAAGCTTGGTGTCTTGCGCTCCAAAGAAAAAGTGGTAAGTTCAGAAAGTGGGCCAAAACAAGTTTTCAAATACCAATGCATTCTCTTTTTTGTCCCCTCTTCCTTCCTTCCCCAGCCCTTCACATACCGAGTTAGCAGGCTGACTTAGTACAGAGCAGTTTCTCATATATGCTGTTCAGAGTGATGGTTTTGGTATATAAAATAGAACTTCCTGTGGTTATCTAAGGACTCTGCAAAAAAAAAATGCTGTGGAAGAAAAGCTTTGACAGCTCTGAGCTGTGCAAAAAGAGTAATACAAACATATAGACTTCAGTCTTGAAATGCTTACATGGCTATTTCTTTGCTTATTTAAGTATACCGGGAAAGAATTACTTCATGCCATTTAACTGATCCCTGGTGTTGCAAGCACCCATTTTTGGAGTGTCTGGATGACAAATAGAGCATGTCTTACGGCTTGGTGACCTATGATAAATATTACTCCTTGTTAGCGCTGTTCAAGGCTGATGTGCAGGAGAAAATGTGGTTATTAGTATCTACGAGCAAATAAAAGCTAGGAATGAAGCTTCATTCTTATGTGAGCATATTTGAAAGACAACCTGCTACAATTCCTTATCCAGTCAGTCTGAGACTGAGGTGCTACCAGAGCAGATTGTCCTGCTATTTCCTTTCCATAGGCTTTAGTAATTGTGCTTAGGGAGGTGAGTTGGATTGGGTTGTAAATTTGACTGAAAAATGGACCTATTGTGGAGGGACGTTACTGTTAGTAGGGAGTACTGTGTATGGCAGTATTGCCTGTAGGCGTGCTACCAAAAAATGGATTTCTTTTTTAAAAAGAGCGTAAAACCTCAGGATTATATGCTGCTTTTCTAAGAAGTGAAAGGACGCTACAGGAAACTACCCCCATCTTTGTGTATTGGTTATAAAAGGAGAATAAAGTGCAACTAAAAGCAGTTGTGTTAGGGCATTTTTTTGGTAACAGTCTTACAACTTTAATGCATGTAACTGCCAGTAAGTTTATCATAGTAACACAGGCTAGCAGCTGTTTTCTTGTTTTGTTCTTTTGTTTTGATTTCCTGCTTGCTGGTGTTTTTCTTAATGAGTGCTGATGACAAAAAGTTGATTTTTCTTTAAAAATTCTGCAACAGAATACGTTACAGTTATTCAGCGAGGTACAAGGGAAGGTGGTATAGCTGTGCTTTACTAATGTCTTACTAAGTGAGATACACTTACAACAGGAGTGATCTGAAACTTGAGCTTGCTAAATATCTTTTTATTACGCTTCTGAGAAGCTGAACCAAATTTGAGAGGATTTCAGGTTCTGGTTACCTCTAAAAAAAACCTGTTGAACAGTAGAAACATCTGCTCTTGGTACCTGCTGTACTAGGCTGTCAGTGTAGTTCTAAGCTTTTTCTTGGCTGGATAGCTACTGCTTCTTGCTGCATTCATCCCTGGAGCTGCCATTCTGCATTTGAGTAGACTCTCAATAGTCAACTGAATGTTTATTACTGCATTGTGCATGCATTTTTCTCTGGTGTGTTATGAGACTAAGATCAGTTGATAGTCTCAAGATGTATGGGAACACAAAATATGCATGTCTGTGCTTCAGTTCTGTATTTAAGATATGTACTGAAGTCTCCAGAAACCAGTGTGAGATATAGGTACAAAAATTAGGGATTTTTGTCTGTCTAAATCAGCATAAAGAAAAGGTTGAAAAAAAGAAACACTAATGTAATTTTTTAAAATTCGTGTTACAGAATTGGAAATTCAATAAAATATTTTAAAAATAAACTGTGTTCAGTGGTGAAATAAATATGATTTTCAGATCAAAACCATTCAGTTCTTGTGGGGAAAAAGAAAAGCTGTTATTTTAAGGATTTGGATATAGTCTCCATGCATGTTTGGTTATCTACTTGTAATTTATGTCTTGTTAAGTTTCCTTGCTTAATGGTTTTATTCTCTTAAATAGGCAAATAAGAGTGGATTACATGGATGCTGCTTGTCTTAGCACTGTGGTGGTGTGTTTTTCCTTGGCAGTCCATGTGCTCATCTTAAAATTAGTCCTCTTTGCTTTTTGACTGGCTGTTTTGTATCACGCTAATTAACTATGAATATGAGTATTCGTATCATAATACTAGCTGTATGGCTTGAGGTGTGTTTTTTTTTTTTTCTTTTGTATTGACAGGAAACTATAACTTGAGTAGTGTAAATATTGGATATCTCATAGCAATTACAGTATTTAACTTGATCTCATTTTGACAAAGTGTTGAAACTATATATAACCTGAAATTCCATTGGCATTTTCTGCAGTAAGGCAAGTCCATTGTGTTCCTATCTGGCATATATTAAATTTTGAATTAGCTAGGCTAAATGCAGATAAACAGATACCATTAGATAGCAGATTTACTGAAAAATAAGGTAATTTTATCTGAATGTCAAACACATTTTGTTTGGAAAAATTTGGAGTGGAACTTAACTGAATGCCCAAGATTTCACAACGAAGAACTAGTAAACCAGTTGTACCTTGGTTTTATAACGACATTTATTTTTTTTCTTTTATTTCATACATGTGGGGAAGGGTAATTCCTCCCTCCTGTGCAATGTAATCTAAGTTAAAGTACCTTTCTATGAGAATAAAAACGTTCTTCCTCTGACAAAAGGACTGTGGTTGCAGAAGGGTTATGGTCCTGTGTTATATCCCCATAAACTCATGAGCAGGAAAACCTAAAACAATGTTAACTGAGTTGCAGAAGTAACCATGGCAAACCTCTATCGCACAGAAACAAAGCCTGCCTTCAGGACGCATCCAGGTTGTCATCTTGAACTTCCTTTTGGTGTTCAGGACTCAGATATGTACCAGGCCCCAATTCAGGTTGAGCTTTAAACATATGAGCATGAACAGTCTCGATCATTCATCATTCTTCCAGGAAATAATCAATGATTGTTTATGCTTCTGGCTCTCCAAATTAGTTGAACAAGATTTGGCTTCAGATGTGGTTTATTTTTTTCCAATTTTTCTTGTTAGGTGTTAAGGTCTCTGCTAGGAGCATGATGTATTTTGCAGGTTAACAAAATAAAGATATTATTATAACAGATTTCCTTCAAAAAGCAGAGGGAGGAGAAAGAGAGATGATTATACAATGGAACAAAGTTTTTACCCTGAGTGAAGTGGGCCTTGAGGTTAGTGCTTTCCTTTCTGATGAATCATTTACATTGTCGTCTCTTTCCACAGATCGATATCGAAATTAATGGTGATGCTGTTGATCTTCATATGAAACTGGGTGACAATGGAGAAGCTTTCTTTGTACAGGAAACCGAGGAGGAAAATGTAAGGGCTTTGTGCTTCATGATGACTGCAATGCGATATTCACAGAGTAAAGTGTTAAAAGTGCTTAATATAGAGTTGTCAGTATTCTAACTAGATTTTCTGTGACTGAATCTTAACATCACTTTCATATGCTTGCCAAGATGCTTGATATTTTGTACAATTCTGCTACCAGTGATAATAAACTAATTCCTTTTTTTTATTAGAGCATTATGTGAAAGATTTGTTGAATTTTTTTTTACTTTGTTTTAGTATATTCATTCTTGTTGACTGCCGTTATACAGATTGCAGTGCCTTATAATAATTTTTACCTTAAGTTCTTACAGCTTGTGTTACTGACCTCTGTACTAATAAAGGTTGTCTATTTTGGTATATTTTTAATTTGTTTTGTAACTTTCAGCACAGTTTTTCATGATTTTATCTATGAAACTTTCACTAGTTAACAGTAACTTCTTTTACTTGAGAATTCTTCTTGTAATCAAATACAGCAATTAATTTCCCAAGAACCTATTGCTGCTAGAAGCCTCTAAAATCAAGAATAATGGTTAATTTTTAGTCTAATTTCTGAAGGATAAGGGACCTATATAATCACAGTATTTGTCAGTGCTGAGCTTTTTTTAACCACTTTTGAATCTGTTGGCATTTTTAGCAAGCCAGAAAGAAATAAGTTCTAAATACAAAGTTCCCAGAAGTTGAATGAAAATAGTCAGTTAGAGGAGAGAGAACAAAAAAATTGTCTCAGTGAAATAAAAGATGAAGTGTTAATTTCCTGTTGCTGTTAGGAATCAGAGTCTTTCAAGGAAATGAGCTTCATCTACTTTTTTGTTTAGGGCACTACTTGTTTACTGTGAGGAATTGGAGGAAGCGCTCATTTTGAAAGCAGTTAAATATAATTTAAAATAGAAGGAGAAAATAAGCATTAAGACCCTGAATGATAACTTGGGGTAGAGATTCATAACATTTGAGAGAAAGGAAGATTTGAGTTCTGTTTTAACATACACCATGATTAAAATCAAACTGAAAGCAGTTTTTTATAGACGTAGGCTGTGTCAGCAATTGATAGGAACTGACTAGTCTTAAGGCTTTCAGAAAGCAAGGGTGATGACCACTACCTTTGTCCCTGGTACAATGTTTTGATGAAGCTATTGCACTTGCTTAGTACATTTTAATTTATAACAAGAGTGCCTTATCTGTGTTCTGGAAAGCTGGTAGTTTATGTCAAAACCATAGATCGAGTTAGCTACAAAGCAGAGGACTAAGTTGTTGTTTAGTGCTTTTAGACTTTTTTTTCCCTTGGTATTTCTACTACTGATCAAAGTGTCTTCGGTTGTGTCTTCAAGCTGTGCTTAAGGTATAAATATCAAAGCTCTCATCGAATTCTTGATTCATTCAGAAAGGCTCTTTCAGCTGGTCAGTCTGCGGTTTTCACATCCTGGCATTCAAAAGTGACACCACATCTTCGATTCATCTAAATTGGGACTATTATAATGTAACTTTCAGGCATCATTTTTCAGACAGTTTTCTTTTAGATTTTCCTCTGGTTTTTAAATCTTGTCTTGTTATTTTGGAATATTTGTCACTAATTGTATAGGATATTCACTTCACTTTAGATGCTATCATTGTATTTGGAGGTTTTTGCCAATGCAAAATCTGTGTCATTAGCACTGTAAGAGGCTGTATTTTGCCCTCCTTTCTCCACTTTTCTCTGCTTAGAACCAGTGGAACAAAACATGGTCTGTAACTCTTAACTCAATGGAAAAATTGAATTTGGTATTAAATAATAGCAGTTCAGACTTTGAACACATCAAAAGCAGTATCAATCCTATCAATGCTCTGGCTGTTTCTGATCACAGTGTAGTTCCTGACTAATCTTCTACATAAGAGCCCTGTAAAATAACAGGCATCTTGTATTTAGTTCTATTCTTACCATGAAATTGAGCTCATAACGTTTTCTCCCCGCTGTGCAAATTCCATTCTTTTCTGATTCTGTTCCACTTTGTCTTTGTCCCTTCACAGTGTGTTTCTTTCAGTCTAGGTGTCAACATCTTTAAGTTTCTTGTTGTGCTATAAATAAACACCAGGCAGTTGATTGGTAAAGCTTTTCGTTCATTTGAATTGTTTCTTCAAAGGACAGTGAGTTGTGATTAATTGAGAGTTGATTGTTGATTTTAACCTGAGTAAATTATAGTTGAGTTTTTCTTTTTGAAAGATACTTTAATGTCTGACATGGATGACAACATGGAATGCACCCTCACTAATTTTGCGGGTAACACTGAACTGGGAGAAGAGGTTGACAGACCAGAAAAAGAGCCACCGCATAGAGCCAACTCAGCAGGCTGGAAGACTGGACCAACAAGATTCACACAATGTTTAACCAAGATATACTTAGAGTTGTGCTTCTGGGTTGGAAGAATCCCATACATTAGTACAGGGTGAGATCTGACTGGATGAAATGCAACTCTGTTGTAAAGGCCAGCAGTGTGCCCTGGCAGCAGTGCAGGCAAATGTGTTCTAGGCTGCATGAGCAGGAGGAGTGCAGCCAGCAGATGAAGGGATGTGGGATTGTCCCACTTGACCTAGTGCTTGTTAAGCCAAACCTGGAACATAGTTCTGGTCTCCTCAGTTCAGGAGACACATGGAAAATTGGAGGGAGTCCAATGGAGAGCTGCCAAGATGATGAGAGGTTTGCAGAAGTTGACATAGGAAGAAAGATTTCTGGAATTGGCTGTGTTCAGCCTAGAGAAGACTCGACTCAGGGGATCTAATCATAAACTTGCAATACTTATAAGGTAGTTATAGAGCAGACGGAGGCACTGTCTTCACAGGGATACCTGATGGTAAGACAAGGGGGAAATTACAACTGGATATAGGAAAAATCCTTCACTATGAGAACAATATGGCACAGGAGTAGGTTGCCTGGAGAACTGGTAGATGCTCCCTCACTGGAAATACTCAACCTTTGGCTTGACAAGGCCCTGGAAAACCTAACCTGAGGCCCTATTTCAACAGAAGCTTGGACCAGATGATCTCCAGATGTCTCTTCCAACCTACACCTTTCTATGAATCTGTTTCAAAATAAATGGACAGCAGTGGATTTAATTAGCCAATTTTTATTAACATATTTACTAAGCATAGATAGAACTGGTGTGCTCAAGGGCAGATAATTTCAAAAACATTCCTCTGACTGGGTATTTGTTTTGCTAGCAAAATCAGTTGTTTATGTCTGAAACTGTAAGAATACTAACACTGATTTTTTTTCTTTTTTTCTGAACTTTTTGTAATCCCTCTAGTGAACTTGACTCCTTTCTGGATTCATACCACTGGGCTATTGTATGGTTTTGTGTCTATATACAAATGCAAGGATTAATCTGTAGCCGACAACTATCCCGTATGCACAAAGCAAAGTTAAAAAAAACCCTGTTCTTTATTTTCTTTTTCTGCTTAGGAAAAAGTTCCTGCATATTTGGCAACATCTCCAATACCCACTGAAGACCAATTTTTTAAAGACACTGACAATCATTTGAAATCAGGTGAAAATGAGAGGACATGTGCAAACTCAGAAATTCCACATTCTGTAGAAACGGAGACGGTATTCACCCCAGGTTCTGTGAAAAAGAAAAAAAGAAGAAGAAAGAAATACAAACAAGATAGCAGGAAGGAAGATCAAATCTCTTCTACTGGGATGGAAGAGGTTTTTGAAATGGAAATAAGCTCAGATGATGACAAAAGTGTTCAACCACTAAGGTGAACTATCAAATACTCGCTGATGGCTTTCACTGTTATTACTGAATGTTTAAAAAGTGACTTGTACCTTTCCTCTATGCAAGTAATGCGTAAGTTTCAATAGGCTCTGGATAGGCTTTTCCTCAAACAAACTCCAAACCCTTATCTTCCACATTTTTGCAGAATCCTTCAAGTTTGGCCATATTATTATGAACATGAAACCCAATTAGGCCCATTCTGGTAAAGAAGCGTTGTCATGATCTGTTGTGTGACTGAGAAAAGTTTCAGTGCAATTTCTCTGAGGCAGAGCGGGCTTATATTACGTTTGGTAACCTCTACATAAACTGCAGTGTGGAGTGCCTGTAGTACGCCATACCAAAGTGTACTTTGGTAACTGAAAGCTACGTGAATGAATGCTCCTTCACTTAGTAAAGAGAAGAAAAGTTAGTCCTGTATTTTGAAGTGGATGAACTATTAGTAAAGTGGAGCTTATGCTAAATTGGTAGCACATCCTAATAAGCTGAAGAAGCTTATATGAGTAATAGGAAGGATTATACTAATAGTAGAAAGCTATCAAGCATAAAAATGGTTAAAATCCAGGAAAGGCCTACTCATCAGTTTTATGTGAAAGTTTCTTAGGCTGCTTAACAAAAGAAGTGAACTTAATTTTTAGACAAAGCTAGCTGCTTTATTGGACAGCACTGCTGTTAAGTGTAGTACTGTCCGAATAAATTCAAGATCTGGTCTGAGAATTGGAAGAATGTTTTGGGATAAAGATAAAGTGTAACTGAAAAACTCCTTCAGTACGGGTCTTCAAGGGAGTCTCAAGTTTAATAAGTACCAGTCAAAAAGATTAGTGCAACAGAAAAACGTGAATCTTGACTGTTATCACACCTATGACTAATAAAACACAACAAACAAAACTTAGATTTGAAAGTGTCTTCTAGATTGTCAGTGGCTTTCTTAGTTAACTTGCCTTATTTTTTCACTGTCAAATTTATGTCAATGAATTGTCTTTTAGATATTCACTGCTCTGTTTAAGTTCAGGAATTGGCATTTTGTTTGGTTTGAGGTTTTTCCTTTTTCTCCTTTTTTTTGTAGTTTAAGAAAAGCAAGATCTTTCTTCCGTCAGTGTGAGAATATTAAGACAACAGTAACTTGTCATACTGAAACCATAAAAAATAAAAATAACCATCAAGTACAGGAAGAAAGAAAATATAACCTATGAATTGTTTATTCTTTATTTATTAAATTACTACAAATGTATGAAGAATTGAGGAATGTCATACCAATACTGGCCATTTTTATTCAGTGTTTAGAATTCAAATTACTATTCTAGCAATTATCTTAATTTGAATAGAGAGGAATAAAAAATTGTAGGTTTTACTAAAATGTGAAATGTTTAGTCATAGCTGAAGAGACCATGGTGTTTCCTTAAAAGTTACTCTGGTTTTATTTTTTTTGTACCCTTTAGAATGAAAGACTGAAAAGGCTTTTTATCTATACACAACATTTTTTTTAACATGTATATATAAACAGAAACAACAGGAGGAATGCATTCTCAGTCAGCGAAGAGTGTTAGGATTGTGAAAGGAAGAAGATTTTGTAGGAGAATGCTGTTTTCTTGTGAATGACAAGTAAATGCATTACTGAAAAAATACATTGTAGTAACGGAAGCCCAGAGGCAGTAGCTTCGTGGCTGTGTGTCTGCTTGCCAAGTTCAGACACAGTCCAGTGGCCTACCAAGGCAGGAAATAAAATGCCTTGCAATAAGCATACGCTGTTTTCTTCCCAGCTAGAGATGGTTGTGGAAAAATGTTCATAAGCTCTCTTTTCACATCCTGTCGGGATGTAAGTTGATATCAGCAGGTTTGTTTTGGTTTAGGATTTGGAGTTTTTTTAGTTATAAATGTGTGGCTTTGGGAAAAAAAAATAAAAGAAAAATAGAAACATAACAAACTGTTTTTAGACATAGCTTCAGATTTCAAAGTGAAACCGGGAAAGAAAAAGGGAGGCTAATGTTCCAACAGGAAGGTCAAAAATTCAGCCACAGGTACCAGTATGTAATGTCTTATCTAGTTCTATTCTTATAAAGTGGAAACCAAGCTCTTTCCTGTTCCTTGGGAAGATCTATTTCCAAGTGTTTATGCAGCTTTTAAAAAAATTTGTCCTTTGTAGCTATGATTCAGGTATGTTACTAGTGCTTGACTTACCTAAAATAATACCAGGAGGACTGGGATTACAGTCTCTAAAGTCAGGAATAGAGGGCATTATTTCTCCAGTGCTAAGGGTTTTAAAGGGTTAAAGAAGTTTTCTGTCTCTAAAATCTTATATGTTTGTTTAGATAATGTATAAAGTGGATAAGGATGAAAAGAAGTGGTAGCACTGTTTATAAATGTTGCGAACAAATAGCTTAGAATCAATCGCGGAGCTCAGTTACAAGTTGATGTATACTGATTTTCCTCTCTTATTTCAATAATCTGACTGCATTTGGATTTTTAACCTTAGAGATCAGGTTTATCCACTTAAGGATGAAATTTGCCCCTTTTTTTTTTTTTAAAATTTGGTATTTTGTGTGAACTCATCTGGTGGCTAATTCCCAGTGAATAAAATCTGTTCAGTACCAATGGTGTGTCATCTCGCCTCCCTCTGAAGTCATAATATTGAGGACCTCTCTGTAATAATTTTCCAATGTGTTTACTTAATTGTTCACTAATACCTTTTTCCTGTTTTGGAGATACTTAACATTGGATACAGGCAAAGATAATACAAAACAGTTTCTGTCACAGTTAGTTTGATTTATGAATACAAAGGATGTACAGTCTCTGCAGCTCTCATCTCAATGCAAGCTGTCATCATCAGGTTTCATAAGAATAGTAATACCGAATAAGAAGTGGTGCTATTAAGATAGTTTTAGGATTCAGTATTTAGCATAGTCTAGACTGTCTTCCAAATGAAAGACTCGTGCAAATGAGGTGGATTACTGTAATTGCTTAGGGTCTAATGGGCTGTATTGAGTAACATGTAAACTCTAAATGCTTATGTATTTTAATAGATAACGTTAAAAATCTTTTTTTCTCCATCTATAAGAGAAATTAACATTAGCATTCCTAAAGAAGTCCAGTGCAACCATGCTGCTAATGGAAGAGAGAGACTTTTTTTCTTTTTTCTTTGCATTTTACATGCAAATTCCTGGATTGTCTTCCTCGTATTCTATCCAATGTGTATCCATGACACCCTTGATCTAATCTCAAAACAAGTTAGTTGTATCCCAAGAATAGCTATTTATTCTATTAAATTCAGAAAGCTGTAAAAAGATCTGTAGTACTTATTCCCTTTTAAATATTTCTGTCATTCTGCATGAAATACAGTGCATACCTGCTCAGTGGCTCTCACTGTTGGTTGAGGTTTTTTTACGTGTATTGTAGATACTGAGTAGACTTGCCAGTGCAAAATAAACCCCACTGTTTAGAAAAGTACAATGCTTCTAGCTAATTGTTGTAGTTTATGTTAATTTGTAAAGTTTTGGGTATACCGAGGCTAGTACCTACCCCTGTTTTCTTACTGGTTTTAATTTGTGAAATGCGCAGTTGTAAAGTGCATTGTCAAAACTACATTTGCTATTTATTTTTTTTTCCAGTGGTTTTAAGGTAATTGTAGCATAGTAAAGGCTATATGTAAATCTTTATCTTCTTCTTTGAGTTTTGATAATATTAGCTGGCAGTATAGAATGATACATTTATGCTATTGTGATTTCTTCAATATTAACTTAATATGTGTCAAGTAGACAAGTAGATTTTTAAACTTACCATATTTTCAAGTATTAATAATAGGTTTTAATTATTAATTAAATTAAATAATATAGATTTTAAGTTATATAAAAGTGTGTTGCAGACAATGAATTCTTAGTTATACACCCCTTTCTTTTGATCTTGGATTTTTAATAACATATAAGTAACTTTTCTAACTGAATTAGTAATGCAAATTTCTTATAGCTGACTTAATGTCTCATGTATCTCCACAGAAGATCATCAAATTCATCACCAAAGGGTGAAGAACAAAAAGAATCTTTGATTTATCACTCGAAGGATCATTACCCCTTATCTGATGGAGACTGGTCCCCTCTGGACAAGTAAGTCACTTTGTAATGTCATCATGTGTTTAATAACAAAATTATTAAAAAAATGAATGTGCATTTTTATTAATTTTTCCCCCGATCTGTAACACTATCAAACATGCCTAACTTTTGTCATATCGAATGCAGCATTTGATACTTAGAACATTGGCAACTTTCCTCTCTACTGTATGTATTAAATGAAATTTCTGTCTTCCCCCCCATAAAAAAAACAACTCTCTTACTAAAATTCATTAAAGAAACTAAAGTTAATAAGATTTCCTTAGGTTGAGAAGGGTATGGAAAATGAAAATGTTTGATATGATTCACTCTAGCATAAGCAACACTTGATATGCCATAAAGCAGAAGCGTTGAGTATGTAAGTTAGAATTTGCCAGGTGAAATAATGCAAATTACTTGAGGTAAAGCTAGGTCCTAAACTTGAATCATATTCCCCTTCAGAACAGAGGATTTGCTAGTTACTGGAGTTCTGGTATCTCTGGGCAACCAGAGAAACAGTATCAGTTAATTGTGAATTCTTACAAATGACATAATAAGCTCACCAGTCAGTTTTCAGTTATAGAGACTTCTGTACTAACTTCAGTTATGGGACACTTCTATTTATACATGCAAGCTCTTCCATTTCTGATGTTCATGCTATGATATTCCTCTCGTATTCAATTTTTAAATTTTTCAAGCCTCACCCTTTGGATTTCACCACTCTAACATCAATCTCTGTCTGCATAAGCAAGCGTTCTGTCCATATGTGGTAGTACTTGAGGCAAATTTCGTACTTTTCCTGACATAGGGAAAAACGTATATTAGCACATGGCATACTGAGCAGCATCTGGATTCATCTTCACTCTTTGTCTAGTTTTACTGCTTTTCAGTTTGACTGAGGACTCGATCTCATAGCAGATAGATTTATAGTGTCAGTGAGGATTACTGTTCAGCCTTGTGTGATATCCATTGTTGCGTGTTAGCTGCTCAGTGCACAGGTGCCCTTTCTTCTGTGTCAATAGATGGTAGTGCAGAATAGAAGAGATTAAGCTTCAGAAAATACTTTTTGAAGCGCATATAATCTCTCTGCTTGAGCATTTCCAGGGCTGAGGCCTCAATACTGAGTCTGAATGTACCACACTTTGCTTGGTGCCTGCTCATTCTCCCGATGCATAGCTTGTTAATGAGCAGAAGCGGTTGGACAGGAAATCCCATTGTAGTTCCTTTGTATGGTTTGGGCTGACAACCACATCCTCAATTGTACTTGATGTGAGGTAGTCTTTAAATGTTCCCCAAAGGTTTGTGGTTTGAGACTGAAAAGCAGTCACAGTGTTTGACCCTGAGGACTGACACGGTGTTATGTGGATTATATCACCTAGGTAATTGTAGCATAGAGGCTGATATTCCTATTGAGTTTATAAAATTCTAGCTAACATAGACTAGCAGGATGTATCTGGGAGATACGATTCATGCCTCTCTTCTTGTTTACATATTTAGGGGATACTCTGCTCTAACAACTTGTATGTGCATCATCTGAGAGACCTAGGTTCTTCGTAGTTCCAGAGTTTTTTAACAAGATGCTATCCAATACAGATTGCAGTGTAACAGAGAAATTGGCAATTTTCCTTTCCCTCTTAGGGTAGGGGGGTAGCTGGATGAGGGATTGTTTCTCACATGAGTCAAAAGCCAGCCGTATCCTGGGCTGCATCAAAAGAAGTGTGGCCAGCAGGTCGAGGGAGGTGATTCTGCCCCTCTGCTCTGCTCTCGTGAGACCCCACCTGGAATATTGCATTCACTTCTGGAGTCCCCAACATAAGAAGGACATGGAGCTGCTGGACCGAGTCCAGAGGAGGGCCATGAAGATGATCCGAGGGCTGGAGCACCTCTGCTATGAAGACAGGCTGAGAGAGTTGGGACTGTTCAGCCTGGAGAAGAGAAGGCTCCGGGGTGATCTTATAGCAGTTTTCCAGTACCTAAAGGGGCCTACAGGAAAGCTGGAGAGAGG